ATCCATCATAAGAGTTCCGTATGATGTTAACTATTTTCTCAGGCACCCCGTAGTGTCGAAGAAGAGTCCACAGTGTTTTCCTGTCCACGCTATCGAATGCTTTCTCGTAGTCGATGACGTTGATGTAGAGTGGTGAGTTCCATTCAATTGATTGTTCCACAATGATCCGTAATGTAGCAATTTGGTCAGTACACGATCGATCCTTACGAAATCCGGCCTGTTGATCTCGAAGTTGGGCGTCTACGAAGTCCTTCATTCTGTTTAACAATACCCTGTTGAAGACTTTGCCTGGTATTGAAAGAAGAGTGATGCCTCTGTAGTTCTCACACTTGCTCAGGTCGCCTTTCTTTGGTATTTTGATGAGGTATCCTTCCTTCCAGTCTGATGGTACTTGTTCCTCATCCCAAATCTTCTTGAAGAGGATGTGAAATATTTTCGCGGTTGCTTCTACATCTGCTTTCATTGCCTCTGCTGGAATGTTGTCTGGTCCTGCTGCTTTGCCGTTCTTCATTTGTCTGATGGCCATGCTGATCTCCTCAATCGTAGGTGCGCCAATACTAATTGGGAGGTCCGTGGATGCTGCTTCGATGTTGGGTGTCTTCAGAGGAGCTGGTCGATTTAGGAGTTCCTTAAAGTGCTCTACCCACCTATTTCGCTGTTGTTCAGTGTTGCTGATTACTTTGCCTTCCTTGTTTTTCACTGGTCGTTCTGGTTTACGATAGTTCCCGGCGAGCTTCTTTGTAGTTTCATACAATTGTCTCAAGTTTCCGTCTCTTGCAGCCTTTTCCGCCGTCGTTGCTAGATCTTCCACGTATTTTCGTTTGTCAGCTCTGATGCTCTTCTTCACTTCCCTGTTTGCTTCTGTGTATGCAGCTTGTGCGGTAACTTTCTCTGCTCTTGTTCGGCTGACATTGATTGCTGCTTTCTTGTTCCTCCTTTCTTCAATTTTTGCGAGAGTATCAACAGAGATCCATTCCTTATGATGGTGCTTCTTGCGACCAAGGACCTCCTGACATGTTGAAGTGATTGCCTCCTTAATCCCTTTCCAATTGTTCTCCAATGTTGTGTCCTCTCCATTGTGTAGATCCTGTAAGGCCTGGAACCTATTGGTGAGGGCTATCTTGAATTCGTTGAGCTTTACAGTATCCCGAAGAAAGGCCGTATTAAACTTGTGTGATGTTGTCTGTCCCGTTGTCCAGTGCTTCTTTAGTTTCAGTTTCATTTTGGCGATTAGCAAATGGTGATCTGAGGCTACATCAGCTCCTCTCCTGGTTCTCACATCCTCCATAGTCCTTCTGAACGTTTTGTTGATACAGATATGATCAATCTGGTTTTGAGTAGTGTGATCCGGTGAAATCCATGTGGCTTTGTGAATGCGTTTGTGCGGGAATATTGTGCCACCGATGACCAGTTTGTTGAAGGCACATAGGTTTGCAAATCTCTCACCGTTTTCGTTTCTTTCTCCCAGTCCATGTCGTCCCATGATGTCTTCATATCCAGTGTTGTCCATTCCAACCTTGGCATTCAGGTCTCCCATAAGAATCGTCAAATCCTTTGGTGAACATTTATCGACGATTGACTGCAGCCTTTCGTAGAACTGATCTTTGTCGTCGTCATTGTAGTCGTTGGTAGGTGCATAACATTGGATGACGTTCATTGTAATGTCCTCTTTCTTTGTTTTGAAGGATGCTTTAATGATCCTGGGTCCATGAGATTCCCATCCTATTAGTGCCTTTTGTGCATGTTTGGACAGCATCAATGCAACTCCTTGTGTATGTGAAGCATTTTCCTCTTCATGACCAGAGTATAACAGCAGTTCCCCTGAAGCTAGTCTCAGTTGTCCTACTTGTGTCCAATGTGTTTCACTGATTCCAAGCACCTCGAGGTTGTATCTTCTCATTTCTGCCGCAACTTGAAATAGTCTTCCAGTCTCCCACAATGTACGAACGTTCCATGTACCTAAAAAAATGGTTGCTCTAGTTGTCAGAAGAGGCATCAGCCCCGTGACTTCCGAGGGAACTCGGCTTTCATCACGCGACGTCATAATTCTTCCTCCAACTCCCAGGGCAGAGTTAAAATGGTTTGAATTATTTTTTCTGGTTAGCGTTTTTTTGGCAAGTGAGATTTCAACGGAATGGGGTCGCCAACCCCATGTCCAACCCTCCTCCTTTACCCGGGCTTGGGACCGGCAGTAGCCCCTAAGGTTCTACTGGCGGAGTTTTCAGTTTATATATATATATATATATATATATATATATATATATATGATACATATTAAACCACTTTTTTAATCTTCAAGTCACTGAATTTTGCTGTATTTCGACTAATAGCGATCTTCTTTTTTCCAAAGAATTTGCGCACTTAGAAGCAAAAGTCGCAATAACAAGACGTGGGGAGAGCGTTCCGTGACGGCTTTTGACACGCTCATTCAAGTTGGTGAAGGTACTTATGGGCATGTCTATAAAGCAAGAGATAAAATCACTGGTAAATAATTGTTTGTAATATTGTAATGTTTATTTCAGGTGAATACAAAGCATTGAAAAAAGTTAGGCTGGAGAATGAAAGGGAAGGATTTCCCATAACCGCTGTTCGAGAAATAAAAATACTTCGCCAACTCAGACACCCTAACATTGTTAATTTATGTGAAATTGTTACTGACAAAGACGATCCTACAGATTTTAAAAAGGATAAAGGTAAAGCTTATTATTATTGTTATTCGTTTTTTTTGCTTTCTACAAGGTGCTTTCTTCTTAGTTTTCGATTATATGGATCATGATCTTTATGGTATCTTAGAGTCTGGATTGGTGACTTTCAGTGAACAGCATATCGCTTCCTTGATGAAACAGCTCCTAGATGGCCTTAGTTTTTGTCATGATAGACACTTCCTTCATCGTGACATCAAATGTTCTAACATATTGATTAACAACAAGTAATAAAGTTAATTAAATTATTGCTTTTATAGAGGACAGCTTAAGTTAGCCGATTTCGGACTGGCACGTTTGTATATCGCCGGAGATAAAGAAAGACCATACACGAATAAAGTAATAACTTTGTGGTATCGACCACCGGAATTACTGCTTGGTGAAGAGAGATATGGTCCAGCCGTCGACATATGGTCTTGCGGGTAAGAAAAAATGTGTTACAATTCTTACCTCCATAAGATGCATTTTAGGAGAAATGTTTACTCGTCGACCAATGTTTCAGGCTAGTGAAGAAGTTGAACAGTTAGAAGTTATATCACGAATCTGTGGGTATCCAGATCCAGCTATATGGCCTAATGTCGAAAAATTACCTTTTTATTCAACAATTAAACCTAAAAAGATGTACAGACGCAGACTTCGGGAAGAATATCATATGTAAGAATTCGATAGTTATTATTTTCTGCATAGCATCCCACCACATGCTGTAGATCTCCTCGATCATATGCTTCAGCTGGATCCCCAAAGGCGATGCAGTGCACGTGAAGCTCTGGGGTCGCCGTGGTTACGGAATATCGACCCAACAAAAATCTCTCCACCCAGGTATTTAATGTAGAAATGTCTCACTCTTTCATAGACTTCCCGTTGACCAAGATTGTCATGAAATGTGGAGCAAGAGAAGACGACGGATGTTGCGTCATGAGCAAGAAGTAAAGACTCAAAAAATGGGCTCCGAAACATCCACTTCCAGGTTTCCAGGTGGGTTATTTTATTCAATGTAATTTTTTAGCCGTCACATCTCGCACTTCCATAGTCGATGCCAATTCTGTTTCAAATGGGCCATCTCTAAACAAAATATATTCCGAAGGCAGTAGATCTGGGTCATTTAAACAAAGCATTCCAAGCAAACACGGTAGTGACGAATTCCCAAACAGTAGTTTCAATTCAGACCAACTTCGCCATCCTCCAATCTCTGCAAATCCTACCGATCCCACCACTAGTCTTAAAAATCAGCTACGGGACTTATTGGCAGATTTTGCAGACTCTGGGATAGACCGTTTTAAAGAGTCCATCACTGAAGCGCTAAAAGCAAATCCTAATTTACTAAAGGGAATGCAGGAATTACTTGGTCCTAGTGACCCGAGTGAAAATGCTTCAGCTGTTCTCGCATATATTTTATCGTTGTTGGCAGATTTAAGTAGTCAGAGCTCAACTGTTATGGAGATGAGTGATGCTAGTATCCAGACTGCATCTTCACAAATCCATCCTCAACACTTGCCACGTAATCCAAATAATCAATTAACCTAATATTACCACTACTGCCGCCACTACAGCTCTTTCTGAAGATTCCAGTATTTTCTGATGTGGAAGTCAACCCTATTGTGTGCATTATATATAAATATTTCAGTTTTGTTGTATTTAAGCTGTAAAAAAAAAATGAAATGCTTTATTGTTTTTGTCATGTTTATTTAAATGATGTGCTGTTTTTAGAAAGATAATGTAGATATGAAAACAGACACTTGTGATAGACATTATTCGAAACTTAATTTTTTACTGATAAAATATTGACTTAAAAATACATGTTGTTGCCTGATAGTCTTTTTTTTTTAATAGTAGTAATTCGAAATATTTGTGTTGTAAATAAATCTAACGATTATTGCGCCTTCATAAAGGTTATGATTCATGAAAATAGTATCAATATTATTCCGTTCTATAATGTAGTTTAATCACGAGAGTTTCGGTGTCGCGGTAGCAATAATTACTAGATGATATTTACATCAATCTTGCACATCTGTCAGTATGAATTATATTATAAAGTATATGTGGTTGTAATAAAACATGCTAACATCTATCCAAACAGAGATCAGAAGAGAGCCACTTCCGAATGAAACCAATTTTATTCTAAAAGTCGTGTGAATGGTTTAATAGTAATGTTAATTAGGTATACTAAGAAGTAACGTTTCGTAGTGAGCTAATTCCTCTAAACCCACAATTTAGATATCTTGTATTTGAAATGACTAACGAAAAAGCTAGAGTCTCAAAGAAAACTTTTTTACTTATTAAGGTTGTATGGAATTCGTTAATCTAATAAAGGATATCAGCGTGGAGTAAAGTAGTTGTACGTTGATATCAGATATCAGATGGACATTAAAATTTAGCTGAAAGGTATTTTGAATTTAATTAACCGACCAAATAAAATGCGTATGAATTATTATAAGGTGTTCGTAAAGTATACATTATTAACTATCCCTGTTTATCCCTCACGGAGCATAGGTCGATGACCAGCATTCTCCAACCAAGTCTGTCCTGGACTCACTTCTTTCTTGACGTTGATCCCTATTCTTGCAAAATCAGAAATCTGTCTATAGATCGTATTCAGAGTTGTCGACTAAGGCACAACTTTAGTCCTTATGCATTGTCTATCAATTTGATTGTTATATTGAAAGAAGTATCAGTATATTCTAAAGGTCTATGTTTGTTCACTGAATACTGAAACAGTCTCGCTTCGTCAATTAAGATCCTGGTTAGTGATAATAATAAAACCTTCACATATTGGTCAACGATATTTCCTATGCGGTGGTCGCTATTAATTGTATTATTTTTAACTTTGTTACTAACAGTATAATGAAACAAGATATTCACCTCACGTCACTTAACTAGTATAATAGGTGTAAGCGATTTGTTGTTGCTGTATCTGGTAAGTTGACAGGAGTTTCTGACGGCCTTGCCGATGTGAATATGATATCAGTCAGTCAGTCAGTCAGATGCAACGTAGAACTTCGTACGTAAGTACATCAGTTCATGTCGCCATACCACATCAGCACAGAGAAGTAATTGTCAATTCAAATCCAATAGTAGTAGAGGTAGTAAAGGTATTAGTAATAATCGGAGGTTAGGATTAGAAGATATTATTCAAGAAGTATGATTCAGTGAGCAAAGTTTAGAAAGTCAAAACTAGAGGGGTTGAAGAATCCAGAAGATTAGGATTTGAGAACACAAAGAATAAATACACCGGCGCCATTGCGAACGATTTTGAGCCATATCATTCAAGGTCTCTAACCATCGATTATTATCATCTCGCGGACCCCAACCAGGTAGTCGACAATTACCGACATGGCTCAGTCCACTAGTCAATGACTTCATGGATTTCTGCCATGTTTTGGTCTGGCCGCCCCTAGCTTTCTTCCAACCTACTCCTACACCACAAAATAAAGCTCTTCGAGGCAGTCGGTGGTTCGGCATACGCAACACATGTCCCAACCACCTCAACTGATGACGTTTCAATACTTCATCGATTGATCTGCCATCCTTACCTAGTACTCGTTTCCTAACGACAGCATTGCTCACTCGGTTGTCCCACGGTATACGAGCAATGCTTCGAAGACACCTATGATCGAAAACCAGTAAACTAAGAATATCTTCTACTCTCGCTGGCCATGTTTCGCATCCATATAGGAGAACGGAGCGAACCACTGCACTGTACACTCGTCCTTTGATTAGAGAACGGATATCACGCCTACGCCACAAGTGACGCAGGTTGGCAAAAGCCAATCGAGCCTTCTGTATCCGAGCTGAGACTTCGTCAGTCACCAGGCCATCGGCACTGATGAGACTCCCAAGATAAGTGAAGTGATCTACACGCTCGACTACTTCACTCCCTATCACTAGTTCAGGTGCCAATGCAACCCGGTCTTGAAGCAACATTTTGCATTTCCAGGGGGAAAACTGCATTCCGAACATGCTCGCATTGTTGCTTATGGTAGTCAGAAGACTCTGCATTTTGTCAGCGTCTTCACCAAGTAGGACTATGTCATCGGCATATTCTAAGTCAATAAGCGAGCCACCTGGTAAAAGGTCTACTCCAGAAAATTCAGACGAGGATAAGGTAAGTTCTAGGAGCATGTCTATGATAAAATTGAACAAGAATGGAGAAAGTGGACATCCCTGACGGACACCACTTGATGTAGAGAATTCCGGTGACAGTTCGCCATAAGCTCTCACTCGACCAGTGGTGTTCGAGTAAAGAGCTTGTATAAGGTTAATGTAGTTCTTTGGTACACCTTTCAATGACAGACACTGCCACAGAACCTCACGATCAACAGAGACAAATGCCGCCTTAAGGTCCAGGAAAACAACTATTGTAGGACGCCTAAATGTGTGTCTATGTTCCAGGACCTGTCTTAGCGTGAAGATGTGGTCTATACAACCACGTCCAGGTCGGAAACCAGCCTGGTTTTCTCGAGTTTGCTCTTCACGAGCTTTCGTTAAGCGTCAAAGTATTATTGAGTCCAATATTTTAGATACTATATTAGTTAAACTTATTCCCCTGTGATTGTCACAAGAAGACTTTTGTCCTTTCTTATAGATTGGGACAATCAGTGATTGAGACCAGTCGTATGGGATTACGTCCAGTTCCCAGATTCTACCTAAGATCTCAGTCAACCTAGCTTCTAAAACTGGACCACCATCTTTAAATATCTCAGGAGTCAGTCTATCAGGACCTGCAGCTCATCCTCGTTTCAGATTTCCCAACGCTTTCTCAACATCATTAAGGCTAGGTGGACTTAGGTCGATTTGCCATTCAGGATGACTGGAGATCGTGGGTAACCGAAGAGTGGCTCGAGGCCAGTTGAACTGATCCCTAAAGTGTTCTGCCCATCGATCCAGTCTCCTGGATTGAGAATGGATAATAAGACCATCCTTTTCCGAGATAGTCTCACTCACATTCAGGTTCTTAATACCAGTTTCTTTAATAAGGCGGAAAAGTTGTCTGGTGTTGCCGATCGCCGCTGCCTTTTCCATCGCTTTTGCTTTCGCCACCCACCACTGTTCGCGGTCGTTACGCAGACTTTTTATCAGCCTACGTCTAAGCTGACTACGCTCTTCATCATGCTCAGAGTCAGGTGGGATGCGTTTTCGAGCATCCATCAGTTCGGTGGATGCGACTGAGATCCACGGCTTCATCCTAGCCTTATGGTTTACCTTACTAGCAGATATCACTGCTGTTTCCACAGCCTTTTTGATATCATACCAACCTGCTTCTGGATGGGAATCACTTACATCTTTGCTTAACTCTGTTTCTAGTTGCTCTAGAAATATTTTCTTAGTTTGATTATCATTAAGTAAAACCCTAAGAGGCTTCCTTACGGTGTCTTTCCTACGTCCAGTAAGCCTCAAACAGATACGAGCTCGCACTAGAGCATGATCTGAATCCAAACATGTGCTCCAGAACGAGCGACAGTCTTCTATCGAACCCCTCCATCGGTGGCTGATGGCGATGTGATCTAGTTGAGTCCAACGTTGAGACGACTTTGGAGGTCGCCAGGTCAGCAGATGCTTTTCCTTATGCCTAAAGTTGGTGTTCGCTAAGTATAGGCGGTTATCTGAGCATAGTTGCAACAGACGGTCGCCATTGTCTGTTCTCTCAGTCGCTACACCATAACATCCACCAAGATGTCTTTCCTTTTCACCTAGTCTACCTACTTGAGCATTAAAGTCACCAGCCATTATTACTATATCAGAGCGCCTAGCTTTTTGGAGGAGGTCCGAAAGCTTTCTGTAAAACTCATCTTTAACCTCGTCTGCACTGCAGTCAGCGGGGGCATAGGCAGATACGATGAAGAGGCAACGGCTATTGTCCCTATCTTTCCGAGTCCTTACTGTCCCGTTTAGTCGGACAGCGCACAATCGACTATCTACAGGGATCGAGTCTAGGAGAGATAATTCTGCCCTAGGACTCAACGCAATGCCTACGCCAGCAAGACCCCTGGAAGCAGCATCAGGGCTACCGGATACACGAAGAGTGAATCGGGCTGCTTCTTCGTTTTGACAAGGTGGAATCAGGTTAATGACTTTACTAGGATCCTGTATGCGCGTTTCCGAAACGCAGCATACATCGATGGCACGAGTTTCTAAAGTCCTAGCCAATGATGCCTGTTGCCCTATTTGATATGATATCAAGTCTGAAAGTAAACTAGAAAAGCGTGTTGGTATTTCGGCCCCCAGAATTAGCAACTATATGATAGTGACCGATTCTAATATTATGCTCAGACAACCACTTATTCCTAGATAGCACAAAATTCAGGCAGAGATATAGATGTAGGCTACTCTGCCAGCCCCCAACGTTAGCATAACGGTGTACACGAACAGAGCATTCTAGCATCACCCATTGTTGGAGAGGCCTGATAACAGACTGTTATTTCTTCTGAAGCACACAATTAGTCTCTGGTCATGCCCTACGTCTTATTAGTCACAGGAAAACCACAACTGAGAAACCTCTTGGATCGCAATTTGAAAATGAAAAGAACAAGAATACATTCGAGGCAGAAATAATTCAGCAATTAGTCTGTCGTGGAGAGGACCACTCTGACGAAGCGACCGAAGCTTGGCATGATATCCAACCTGTTGTAAATACCTAGGTGATACTGGCGACCAACTTCAATGAAAGGATTAGGAAAGACCATTGGATTTGCGTGCCATCTACTGAAGTAATAAATGTCAGAAAACTCATCTCCACAAGCCCGCAGAATAATAAAGATTACAACTCAAACACGAACTAACAGGTTTAAGGTCAGCACATGGAGGTACTGATATTC